AAAGAACTTGTGTCGCTTAAGTTTCGTCGGAACGAAGTTACGGAAAATTAATTAACACACGGAGACGTAACAATAGGAACAGTTAATCCTTGTGTAGCTTTGCGTGAATATCCGAAAAACAAACAAACAAGTATAATCAGTTGGATTATTACTTATCGTGAAATAATATTAGGACTTCTGAAAGATTCTTAATATTTGTACCTCCCCCCCTCCTAAAAACCTATTTTAAACCGATTTGTTGGAGGCAACGTCCCCACACACAAGTTTAATAAATACTTTTTCTTGTTACATACTAAAAAGGCAGAAGAATATAATTCTTTCCAATATTTTCCTGCCTTGGAATTTCTTTCGTCTTAAGTTTTCTCCCACTTCCAATTTGTTACATTACCAGCAAAGAGCTTATGTATGGTAAATGTTATATGCTTTATATAAATTTGTGTTAGCTAAACAATTATGCAGGTGGAGCTCGCCCAACTAAACCCTACTCAATGTATATATATACATAAGTACATTGTACTGGGTATAGACATAGCAGTGGAGCACTTGGGTGCTTCAACTTCATTCCCATATTGGGAGAATCATGTTTATTTGAAAATATTATCGGGACAAACCTGAAAAATACTGTGTTGTTGCCAATTTATTTACACTGATTTACTGAAATTGTAATTATGTTAATACAATATTTGAGCAATCGCTACGAGTAAGAAATATATAAATTATTATTTATAAATAATGATTTTGCATTTTTAGTCAGTTTGATCGTTGAATTTTGTTTAAATTAGTCCATTTATTCAAAAATGCCTTTCTCAGAAAAAAATATTCAACTTTCTCATTTGCAAGTAAAATCAATACGATTTTCTGACTTCCTTGGCGGCATTGAACAAGAACTTGCTGATGGGTATTCATGAAAGACATAACCGAAAAGTATTCCTGGTCATTATTCACATTATTTCTAACTAAAGGTTAACTCCCTCGTGAAACTTGTTAGAGTCTGCTGAAGGGATATTGTATTTTTATAGAAAATTACTCATAAGTATCTCCCCTTCAAAATTTTGCACTTGCTATGCCTATGGTGCTGGGTGATAAGAGTTTACATGAATGTGATATACCAAAATTTTGAGAAATTATTTTAAAATTCTAAAAGGTAACAGCTTGCCATAATGCCGTTTCTGAAAATGAATGGCCTAAGATGCAGAGAGTAAAAACAAAACTGTATGATCCGTACAAGATCTTTATGGTCCGTTCAGGTTTACTCATTCAAACTCACACTAAATCAAAAGAAACGTCAGTATTACCAAAGATTTTATTTGAATGGTTTCATAAACATTACTAACTTAACGTCCGCGAGTTGAATATTCTGATCTTATGGACTTTTTCATGGTCTTGTTTCATACATGTCGACATATTTCAATTTCATTACCCTTACGTCTTTTTCATGGTCTTGTTTCAT